CACACACACACACACACACACACACACACACACACACATTTGTGTGACTGCACACGTGCATGTATACAATGTTATCACATGAAACTTAGAGAACCGCGAAGGGCAAGGAGGTGTGGAGGAAAGTCACAAAAGCAAGCCCTTCAGCAATTGCTGGGTTCCTAAGGGCTCTGTTTTCATAAATTTCTCCGTCAAAAAAAAAAGACAAATTAACAACGAATGTTGGGAAGTTGACGCACACATGTGCACAACGAGCAAGCCAAGTATCATGCACGCTTCCTGACCATGCACTAATATCCTCCTAAATGAGAGGGTGCAAGAGATGGAAGAAGAGCAGACAAGAAGCTACATATGAATAGAACACATCATTTTTACCTACCCCTGAGAAGTCCAGCGATGCGGCATTGTCCCTTGTGCCAATAAGCTTGATGGCCTTGGCATACTCAATGTTATCCGTAATTATTCTCGTCAGTTCGGGAAAGTACCATCCATACCATTCCCTCACCCGCATTGCGTATGTGTTCAGCTCTTTGTCAAGCTCGTCCAACAACCCAATTGCCTGAACAATCATCGTGTCCACCTGCAACAGTGAGCACAATCAGGTCATGTCGGTGTGCAAGTCAACATCACTAGAAAAACGAACTCATGCAGAACAAGTCCACTAGAAAGATCAAATCATGCATGCAAGGTTGTGAAGTGCAATAATACGTCATCCCCGTCTAGCGTCCAAGTCAACATCACTAGAAAAATGAACTCATGCATGCAAAGTCCACCAGAAAAAATGAAATCATGCATGCAAAGTTGCAAACCACAACAATACATTGTCCCCGTTCTCCCAAAATGAATACGCAACCCTCAACCCCCTGTCATTTGGTCTGTCCCTCAATCCATCCATCCATTCCTCCACCAATCAGCTGATCCATCCATCATCAACAGCTATCTGTCTGACGATCGATCCGTGCATCCATCGATCGATTAATCCATTCATCCATCGTCGATCGACCAATGGTCCAATGCATTTGTCAGTTGATGGATCCATCCACTAGTGTGAGGGTTTATGCCTCGGCATAGGGCCCTGCAGCAGGCGCGTGCCCGCCCTAAGTGAAGGTGGGGCCCCCTGAATCTCAATGCGCCCTGAACTCGTCAATTTTTGCAAATCTTGGTCCGCGACCGACAGTTGCCACGCGCCAGTTGGTTACATCCGCCTTGCTCGTGAGAGTCCACTTCCAAGCTCTTCCAGCAACGTAGTGGAAGCAGAGTGTGCCTGGGTGGTTGGGCATGCCTAACCAATCCGGTCCCAGGCCACTGTCTGAACGGGCCTGGGTGCAGACACTTTGGCCAAGACTGAAGCTACTGGAAACTAGGTCTCATGTTGGGAAAGCAAAGGCAAAGTGCCCACCACTTTCGATATAGGAAAGGTGTAACGAGCGTGAGGCTGAGGGTGAGCCGAGGGAGAGGAGAGAGAGGGGGAGAGTGAGAGCACACACACACACTCACTCACTCGACACGACGGACTCGGACTGAGGATCGGACGCAGACACAGTGGCAAGGCACAAAGTCGAAGTCTTGGATTCCC